CTATCTGTCTAGCTGTCTGTCTGTCTGTCTGTCTGTCTATCTGACTATCTATCTATCTATCTATCTATCTATCTATCTATCTATCTATCTATCTATCTATCTATCTATCTATCTATCTATCTATCTATCTATCTATCTATCTAGCTAGCTAGCTAGCTATCTATCTAGCTATCTAGCTGTTATAATTATTAAATATAATTTCTATTATAATTTGTATCATGTAATATATTTGTAATTACACATTTGTAACAAAAAAGTTACAATTTACTCCATTTGAAATATATTAACTTTAAATGTTATATAGTTCAAATTATAATTTATGAACACATCATATTAAGTGTACTTCTTAAAATCACAACAAATGATTATTAAAACATAATGATTTAAAATGTACTTTAAAGTAAAACTTAATTTGACATAAAAAAAGTGCACTTTTTAAAAGTGTGTTAAGAAATAGTTATGAAAGTGTACATCATTTTAGTACACTTAAGTGGTCTTTTATTTCATTAAGATTATATTATCTGCAAGTATAGTTTATATTTTGTTTAAATATACTTTTCAGATATTGTCACGTGGTAAGTGTAGCTACACAGACGACACGAAGAAGAAAATTCAAATGCTTTAATAACTATGAGAATGAATTACTGTACACAAACACCAAAGTAGTGACGAGACCAAACAAAGGATGAGGAAAACAGCGGTCTCTATATACACAGGGTAATTAACTACAATTCTAGCTCCAGCAATGATGGAGACCATAGAGACCCAGACGAAGCTGAGCAGACACAGAGCCTGGGTCGATGCAGATTCGGAGGGCCAAGGCGGAACAGCAGGCTCTGGTGACCAAGGCGAAAACGTGATTCCGGAAGACCTCGGTGGAGTCAGAGCAACTGAGGATGAAGGTGGACCCAGACGGAAGGAGGAGCCTGGCAGAGCCAGAGAGATGGAGGGATGAGGTAAAGCCAGAAGAGTGGAGTGGAATCCTAAGGCGGTAGATGGTCGACAACTGACAAAGGTGGAGCCGGAGGGATGAGGGAGCACGGTAGAGACCAGGGAGCTAGGAGCCAAGGCAGAGCCGATGGGTCGAAGGGCTGAGGTGGAGACAGGGATCCAGTGGCAAGAGGAAGAGACAGGGGTCCTCATGCCTACGCAGAGCTGGTGACTGGAAGACCCGATGCAAACCCACATAGGTGATGGCAGGCTGAGGGTGAGCTGAGGGGATGACAGGTGGCAGCGGAGACAGGACTGAGTGCTTGGCTGGCATGGAAGGTGGAGGAAGATGGATGCTTGCCCAAAGTGGTGCCCGAGGGACGAGGAAGAGCAGGTAGGGTAACAGGCCATGGTAGAGATGATGGGACTTGAGGCTGATGAGCCACCTTAGGGATGGACGGAACCAGCAGGGAGACAGGAGATTTGAGTTTGGAAAGAAAAAGCGAAGACTGAAGACAAGGGCTGGATGGAGCAAGCGAAGAAGATAGACAGACAGAACTAGAAGGAAGAGAGGATTTAATTGTTTCAACAGATCTCTAGAGGCCAGCGACAACTCACCCTCAGTCGTAGGAATGTGGGCGGGGCTTTCCTCTATGCTCTCATACTCCACTAATATTCCCACATGTAGCCGGTGTCCTGACATTTTATCCTACCCATCAGATTGTTCTACCAGGTTTTACTTTTGGTTTCCTGTAGCTGTATCCCTTCTAGCTACAACTGTGAATATAACACATAATTACTGTAAGGGTAGGTTTAGGGTTGGGGTAGGAGTAGATGTTAATAAACCATAATTTTACAGGTAGCATTTTTCGTTGTCGAATTGTACTACCCACTGCTTTAATGGGAGGTAGCAAAATCTGACAGGGTAGCACAAACCGACAGAAAACCGGCTCGCACACCAGGTCAGATCTCATGTTGGGCTTGGGCTCTGAGGTGTTGTACAGATCAGTCTCCTTATCTGGCTTATTAAACGTGACCAGCTCTGGCTTTGTGTCTGCGGTGGGCTCAGGCTTCCGATCTGTGTTGCGTGGTGAGGCTGGATGCTGATGAAATCCTCAATATTCGCTTCGCCGACCATGAATGAAGATCCTTTCATCCACAGGGCAAGGCGGCCAGAAACTCCTCAATGTAGTCCTCCAAACATCAGCCGTTCTGAAAAATTAACACCACCACTGCATCTCCCTGAAGTCCCAACCTGGGTGGTGGAATGTTGATCTATTTTTCATATTAGGTATGGTTCGTTCTTATGTCACGCGGTGAAGTGTAGCCACACAGACGACACGAAGAAGAAGAAGAACCACGAGAATGAATTACTGTACACAAATACCAAAGCAGCGACGAGACTGAACCAAGGATGAGGAAAACAGAGGGCTATATACAAAGGGGAAACTACTAAAAGTCAAAACCGGTGTGAAAATTAACTAATTAAAGACAGGAACTCAAGAAGAACTAGGTCATATGATAAAAACAGAACTAAAACAGAACTGAACTGTGACACATATGAAGGTACACTACAAGTGTGCATTCAATATAATTAGTACCCAGCACCTTTAAGTAAATTAAAAAGTTCTTCTTTCTCTTCTCTCTCATTGCCTTGATTCCTATTAAGTATTGTGGCATTATTGGAAATCCTCTGTTGGTTTTTAAATCATGTGACTGAATCCACAGTTGAACTTCACTATTCCTGTTATACTATCTGCCATTTAATGCTGATGAAAGATCATCACTGACTTCCCTTTGATGACTTCTGCCTAAAACCACATATTGATGCTGTGCAAACCAGTGTGAATGATCCGCTATTTCTGATTTCATATTTTATTACATTAATGGGTTGTACTTGTTCAAGTCAGCCAAACCTTGTGTTGCAACCAACTACCAACACCTGTGAGAACACCTACATGCACCACTTTCAAACAAGGCTACGAAGAACACCTACTCACTCTCTCGCAATGACTGCACAAATACCTTATACACCTGCTCTAATCGTCCTGTGCTTTACTGTCATATGCTAACAGTAGCATCCTGGCCACGTATGTCTTTGGTAAGCAACCTAGTTTCAGTGCAGGCACCATGCCCACAGACTACCCACATGCTCTGCTGTTTGTTACATGATCGCGTGAACATGCTCTCATGAGAGTTCAATCATACGCCTGGAGATCTACTGACTTGCAAAGCTTAGTTCCAAACCTTTTCATAAAAAAATGAAAACAAATAAATAAATAAATAAAACCTCACCAGAATGAGGCCAAGCAAAGAGAAACAGACCAAGCCAATACGATAGATGTTCTTAGATCAACATCTGTATCTTCGTCCTCTGCCTCGTCGTCATCATTTTCAAAGCCGCACACCCACAGGTCCTTCAGATCAATCCTGTGTTTCAGTCTGTAGCTTGCATTTGACCTGTAAACACAGAAATGTTTTGCAATATGGCGATGATCTCCAGGCACATGTATATTCAATTTGGACAGACATACACTATTGTTAGAAATCTTTTATTATTCTTACTCAGTGAGGGATTATGTAAGGCATAATCTACAGTCAATGCATTACAAAAACAGGTTCTCATGCGGTTTACTGTGAATATACATAATAACAAATACATGTATGATGGAATTGCATGGTAATTATATTACTATTTGAAAACAGAAAACCATTGCATACTGCACTCTAAAAATGCTGGGTTAAATACAACCCAGTGCTGGGTAAAATAGGGACAAACCCAGCAATTGGGCTGTTTTGACCAAGCAATTGGGTTAAACGTTTACTACTACCAACCTTCTGGGTAGTAACCCAACCACTGGGTCAAAACAATCCAATTGCTGGGTTTGTCCCTATTTTACCCAGCACTGGGTTGTATTTAACCCAGCATTTTTAGAGTGTATGCTATAATATGCCATTTATATAAAAAGGAGGATCAACTTTACTTTCTTATGGTGCGAGAACAAACTGCATTGGTTCTCGTGTATCAAGCAAGCTTGTTTGATATTTGGTTGAACAGATTTTAAATCAAAGCAGTCAGTTTGGGCCATCTTTGCACATCTCAAAACAAATCAACTCTCTAAAAATCATGGAAGACAGTTTATTGCTTATTTATAGGCATTCTGAAATTTGCCTTTTTGACCTCGACCCAAACAACGTAGTAACCTAAAAAACTGTTGATTTAATCACATTCAAAACAAAACTGAAACTTTTTTGAAACCATCACATGTTTTGACACAGAGATGAAAAAAAGTGTGCCTGGCATCATTTTACAAATGATTAAATCAGAATATCAACTCACAAATGTGTAAACTCTGTCATTGCACTTCATACCTGCAAAGTCCAAGTAAAGTTATGTAGTTGTTTTTGTTGTTATTTATTTACTGTTATGAGAGAAGATACAATCAAAATGGCATTTTACCCCATTGGGGACCTTTAGCCCTGATGTACCTTAAACATCATCATCATCATCATCATCATCATCACCACCATAAGATTAGACTTAGTTTGATGGTATCAAACTACATACAGTACTTATTTTATACTTATTTCTATGCATTCATATATAACAGCTGCTTAAAAGTGAATAGTGAATGAAACTAATGCAACACCAGCATTTACTTGTGTGTTTTTGGGGAAGTCGTGGCCTAATGGTTAGAGAGTCGGACTCATAACCCAAAGGTTGTGGGTTCGAGTCTCGTACCGGCAGGGATTGTAGGTGGGGGGAGTGAATGTACAGCGCTCTCTCCCACCTTCAATACCATGGCAAGGTGCCCTTGAGCAAGGCACCGAACCCCCAACTGCTCCCCGGGCGCCGCAGCATAAATGGCTGCCCACTACTCCGGGTGTGTGTTCACGATTTGTGTGTGTTCACTGCTGTGTGTGTGCACTTTGGATGGGTAAATGCAGAGCACTAATTCCGAGTATGGGTCACCATACTTGGCCACATGTCACATGTCACTTGTCACTTGTCACTTTAGATGCCACATTTAGAAAAAGAAGGAAGTAGCTTAATTTCCCTATTTCAGTGACATTTAAATTTCATTAGGTTGCCTAATGGACAATGTTCCAAAAACTGAAAACTAAAAATAAATTAATATTATCACACAAATTCACAAGAAACCAAAGCTGCTCAGCCATTTGTGCATTCTGTGTGTTATGATTTAAGACTTTTTATTTGTTTGTATTTAGCTGATAGATTATTAAGCAACATGTATTACATAAGCCTCACCATGGGTCCTGCGTTATGTAAAAGCAACAGTTCTCTGCGGATTAAAGGACCTTCTAGTATTTTAGCATTAAATCTTGGGTCACTTGTTTTGACCATTAAAACTCATTGACGTATTTGAATGGTCTCTTAAATAACTGCAGCTGAGATTATTGGCTTTCTCAGATTCTAAATGGGAGTTTACACAGGTGGTGACTGACTGGCCGAACCATCCAAGCATCCTCTCTGTTCTTTATCACATTAAGGTCAAACAGCTAGTCAATACGGAAGGAAACAGCCGATACCAGAAGATAATCATCTTTAAATGTCTTAACCCTACACCTGGGCCCCCGGTGACGTGGTAAATTTATTTACCAAATGAAAATACTCTTGATATAGAAATACATTTTTACAGGGATAGTTCACTTAAAAATGAGCATTCTGTAGCAGCAGAAGAACTATGTGTGCATGACAGATATAATCAAACCTACTGTGTAGGAATAAATCACAGATAAAGGTCACCGGGTTTACATATGACAATGAAAAAAGAGCGTGCCAGTGCCAATCTAATGCATTTAGACATGTGCCTGAGATTTTTCACATTGCAGCTTTCTGTTCCTTTTTTTAAAATAAATTTAGGAATCAAATTTGACCCCCAAATATGCAGTATTTAAGATATAATCCCTTAAACATATTCTTCTCTAAAACTAGAATAAAAACATGTATGACCCTGGACCACAAAACCAGTCATAAGGTAAATTTTTTGAAATGAAGATTTATACGTGAATAAAAAAATAAGCTTTCCACTGATGTATGGTTTGTTAGGATAGGACAATATTTGGCAGAGATGCAACTATTTGAAATCTGAGATCTGAGGTTGCAAAAAATCGAAACATTGAGAAAATCGCCTTTAAAGTTGTGCAAATGAAGTTCTTAGCAATGCATCTTACTAATCAAAAATTTAGTTTTGATATATTTACGGTAGGAAATTTACAAAATATCTTCATGGAACATGATCTTTACTTAATATCCTAAAGATTTTTGGCATAAAATAAAAATCGACAATTTTGACTCGTACAATGTATTATTGGCTACTATTGCACGGCTCTGTGGAATACCTGATTCTGATTGGTCAGTCGCGACATTTCGAGGTACAATTATTTAATTATGTCATCCTGGTATGGTAGACTAGCTCTTGTTTCATACAAACGCAGCTGCTGCCATTTTATAATTTAATCATAATTTAATAATTAATTCAATAATAATAATTTATGCATTTAGCAGACGCTTTTATCCAAAGCGACTTACAGTGCATTACCCGTATGTATTTTGCTACGATTGTTTTGTACGCTGTAATGGATCATAAGAGAACTAACAAACCGGTAAGGTTTTAAAACATTGTCTTCTTTTATTATTACAATTATTTGTGTGGTGAAATGTTGTGTAATAAGTGGTTTGACTGCACCGTTTCCCTTAAATGTCCGTCTAGTTTGAATTTGCTGCTTGCTCGCAACTGCTGTCTTCATGGAAGCTTTGCGTTCAAATATTTCAACTCAAATCAATATTTCGCGTCTAATTATTTACTTATGTGGCAAGTAGCCGTGTAATAAGCGGGATAATGTACATCCAGCCGGTTGTTATCTCAGAATAAACCCCGACAGGGTGATCAGGACCCCGACGCGAAGCAGAGGATGTACGGCTGGATGTACATTATCCCTTACTTGCTACAAATATAGGCCTACCTGTGCTACTATGACTGGTTTTGTGGCCCAGGGTTACATATGTGACCCTGGACCACAAAACCAGTCTTAAGTGTCAATTTTTCAAAATTGAGATTTATACATCATCTGAATAAAAAATAAAAAGAAAGCTGAATAAATAAGCTTTCCATTGATGTATGGTTTGTTAGGATAGGACAATATTTGGTCGAGATACAACCATTTGAAAATCTGGAATCTGAGGGTGCAAAAAAATCGAAATACCGAGAAAATCGCCTTTAAAATTGTGCAAATGAAGTTCTTAGCAATGCGTATTACTAATTAAAAATTCAGTTTTGATATATTAACGGTCGGAAAATTACAACATATCTTCGGAAAATTACAAAATATCTTCATGGAACATAATCTTTACTTAATATCCTAATGATTTTTGGCATAAAAGAAAAATCGATAATTTTGACCCATACAATGTATTGTTGGCTATTGCTACAAATATACCCCAGCGACTTAAGACTGGTTTTGTGCTCCAGGGACACATATTATTTCAGGTAAGTCCTTATACCTTTTTTATTTATTTATTTTAATGTATTTATTTTTTTAAGACCTGTAGGCTACTAAATAGGTATACAGTCATGAATGTATACATTTATAGATTTTTTGTTCATGTGAATCAATGCAGGGAAAATTTGACGCAGTATTAATGGTGTGGTAAAGATAATAATATAACAATAAAGAATCCTGATTTATTTGGGAATTTGTTTATTAAATGAGTCATACTGTATCATACAAAACTTGCCTGTTTAATGGTATGGTTATGTTTAAGGGTGGGTTAGTGGTAATTATCTGTAAATAAGTACAGAAATTAATAGTAAGTAAGACATTTTATTTATATAGCACATTTAAACACAGCGAAGCTGACCATAGTGCTGACCAGAGAAAACACAAGTCCAATAGCATAAAGATTAAATAAATATGAAATAATAAAAACAACAACACATAAAGCCTTGCAATAAAGATACACCTTCAGTCTACTTTAAAAAAAAAAAAGATAATAGAAGGTACATGACTTGCAGATGTTGTTTCGTTTGCATTGCATTCATTTAAATGTTGAATATAGCATTCAAAGACATGTAATATAAAGTGAGACCAAAATAATACATTTAGTCTCAACTAGACTATGGGGGAATCCCATCAAAAATCTTTGTTTGCTAGGTGATTCCCACATCATATCAAAAATGAAAGCAGCTCTAAATATATCAGAATGGTGTATGGACACTTTTAGTTTGTAAAAGTATGTTTATGCATGTGTATCGGCAGAATTCACGATTCTTACTTGAGCTTGGCGATGACTAGGGCGTCACTGAGGAGGAAGAGGTGTCTATCTCTGGTCTTTAGTCCTTCGGTCAGCTGAGCACATTCATCCAGAATCAGCTCGGAGTTCTCGCTGGTCAATCCCAGCACGAAGGGACACTGATCCACCGCCACCAGACACTGAGCTTCTTCCCTGAAGACGAGAAACGTTCTCACTATAAACCACCAACTCAGCAACTACAGTATGACCACAGATGAATGAAAAATAGTACAATTGGGAAAATCCAATAATGCGTGGTTGCTTTGGGTTAAAGGCACTTTGTAAAATATCAATGAACAATAGCACTTGGAATATCTGAAAAAGAAGCATGAATTATTGTTTGCATGTCAAACCATTTCCTGAGTTCATTTCAAGGTCTATCGGTATTGAAAGATCATTACATTTCACAAAAGAACAACACCAGATTTTATGTTATAAAACATACCTTATTGGACTCCAAGTCATTCCTAAAGCTTTGCCCAGCACCAGGTTTGGTGCAGAACGTCTCCTCTGCGCCAGACCCCGCAGGTGCTGTATAGAGCAGTTGTTGTTTTATTCATTGTTCTTTCATTTGACTTATTTTGTTAATTAAATATTATTGAACAGATAAAAGAGTCAGATGATGCACATCTTCAGCTTCCAAGTGTACTTTAAGCAATCAAATACTGTATATTTAAAGTTATGTAATCACAACTGTATGTTAAATAATGAAACACAAAAATAATCTTTCTTAGTGAATATCTGAAAAAAATAAATAAATAATTGTTGTTGTTGTTTAGCAAGATTTTACGCATTAACACAAGCTTTTAATTTCCCTGGATCTTCTTCCCAGTGGTAGTGAATTTTACACTGAAACTTACTAGTGTAAAGAATAAAGTTTGTTTCTTAACTGCTGCCATGTACGGCTGTTTGTTTTGTTAATTTTTTGATTTCATCCCTGATTTGTGCCATTGGAGCTGTGGGTCACTGAGGTTTATTTCAGCATTACAGCTGCCACTGCTTGTTTGGATCTTTTATGTTTATGCTTTGGCAAAATGGTAAAAAAAGTCCTACTATAAGGATGAAAGAAGAGAACAAACTCCAAACGCAAGATAAAACAGCAGCTTTACTGAAAAAAAAGCCAATTTTTGCTATTTTATTTCACTATTTACACTTCTTTTAAGGCACAGTAAGATGTGTTGTTTTATTTATGTTTTTATGCTGTTTTTTGTATTTTATGCTTTTATGCTATAGTATTAACTGGCTCGATATAGTATAAATCATATTCTTTTTATATGTCGTTTTGAGAAGTAGTAATAACTTGGTCAGTTGTATGACACAGCTGGCCATTTGGTCTCAACGTGAAGTCGTAATTAAGTCCTAACTTAGGTCATTAACTCCTAATATCATGTGATTGTACATAATTTTAATCATATTTCCCATTTGCCATTCTTTGGATGACTGCTTTGTGTTTTGATCACTGGCTCAATATAGCATAAAGTATGCTGTAGTATAAAGTGTAGTATTATGAAGAATGTTTAATGATAAACCATGCCCATGGTGGTACAGTAAAACAAAATAATGAGGTACTTAGAATTTTCACAAACTAATATACACCCTAAAAAAAAGGTTCTTCAGTGGTTCTTTGGAGTGGTTAAGGTGCTATATAGCACCAGTACCGTATAAAGAACCTGTTAAGCCCCTGTATGGTTCTTCGGCGGTTCTTCAGTGGTTCTTTGGAGTCGATGAGGTGCTATATAGCACCACTACCGTAAAACCTGTAAGCCCCTGTACGGTTCTTTAAAGGTTCTTTAACTCTCTCTTAAGGCACTTTTCCACTGCATGGTACGGCACGGTATGGCTCGGTACGGTACACTTTTTGGGGGTTTTCCACTGGGTACAGTACCTGGTACCTGGTACTTTTTTTAGTACCACCTCGGTTGGGGCTCCAAGTGAACCGTACCGTTACCAAAACTTGACATGTAAACTCTGCTGATCACGGATTGGCCGGAGAGAATCGTCACTACCTGCGCCACTGAACTTGCGACACAAACGCAACAGAACCGCTAGATTTAAATCAGCACAGCCAGCGAAGGATCGAACGCAGCGCACCTTTTTTGAACAACCAAAAAGTTTTGTTGTCTGTTGCGGAAGAACAGACGTTCTTCTCGTTGATAGCAGAGGAGCAGATCCAGCGAGAGCTTGATGGGGCGACACGGAATGAAAAAGGTTTTTTTTAGGAGTCGCGGCAGTAGAGGCGGCGCAACTATAACGATATGTGAATAATCCCGCCCACTCTAAAGCGGTACTGAACTGCAGTGGAAACGCAAACTGAGCCGTGCCGTACTGTGCCGTGCCGTACTGAGCCGTGCCGAGCTGAGTCGTACCACGCAGTGGAAAAGCACCATAAGTCTCTTAGTTTAGTTGGGGAAAGGGTTAAAACAACATTAAAATACAGTCTATTTCTTGAAGATGTAATGTTTTTTACCCCCAAGGCCCCCATAAGGAAATATTCCAGGGCCCCCACATGAGACCTTTGACCTCAGAAAAAAAGGACCTCTCCACAAACAGCAACACCAACTTCACACATTACTAACCAGTTAGACTTTATTTCTGGAGTATCTAAAACAGAAGTTCTTTATTGAGAATTAAGGTTTAGATGCTTTAGTTGCCTCTTGACCCTTGACTTTAATTCTAAGTTAAAATAAGTTTTCTTTGGCTGTTACAATAATGTTTATAAAGCACGTATGTGATGGCAAGGAACTTATGGTAAAATCGTTTCATGTGTGTGAATCTTTGGTTGCATTTTATCAAAATCTGAGCTTTTTATTATTGCAGTTCTACGATTTTATGTGACAATATGAGAAAATTGTATAAACCACTTTTAGAATTATGGGTTCTAAAGAGGTTTCAATTCTGTCACTCATAGACATGAAGAATCAGCATGTGAATCTCAGCGATGGTGACAAAATATTCGGATCATTTTGATATGATTTTTGAACATCACAAAACGGCAGTAAAAAGTCACAACAAAAATAAAAGCAAATAGTAAGAATAAAAGAAAATGCTAAGACAATGCAGCTGCATAATTAATTCATGTCGCAATGCATGCTGGGAGCCATGGATGAGTTATGACTGGTGCACCATTGCTGAGAAAAAGTGTTATGTGGCACCTCGTATGGTTCTACATGGCACCATTTGACAAAGGTGCTATATAGCACCTATAAAAATAGATGTTAAATAGCACTAAACGTGGTTCCCCTATGATTACAAGCCAAAGAACCGCTTTTAGTGCTATATAGCACCATTTTTTT